AGGACGCAGGTTACGCCGCCGAAGATGTTGAACACGAGGGTGAAGGTGAGGCAGGCGGCGTGGAAGACGGGGAGGGCGAGGAAGAGCCGCTGGCCCGAGAGGTAGTTGATGAGCGTTGGCTTGCCGCCGAGGGAGGGGATGAGCTGGTGGGCGTCGTTGCTGGCGAAGGTGCCATAGGTAACGAAGACGGGCTTGGGGATGCCCGTCGAGCCGGACGTGTGGAGGACGCAGAAGGGCTTGGTTTTGGCTTCTTCCCAGGTCAGGGTAAATGGGATCGGGGGCACTTGGTCAAGGTCTTCGAAGAAGAAGTCCACTTCGGGAGCCGCGATCTGCTCCATGGGGCGCGCGGCAAAGATCTGGCTGAGGATGGCCGGTGCACGGCTGGGCACAAGGACTGTGTCGCAGCCACACTTGTCTAGCAAGGAGAGGTGGGCTTCTAAGCTGTTGCGCAGCGAGCTGAAGAAGGCCTGGAGGGAGTCAGTGACATTGTGGAGATGACATGGAGCACATAAGACTCACCATGTGGCCTGCCTTGGCCGCCGCCAGGATGATGACCAGGTATCGCACATCCAGCGGGCCCATGTAGAGAATGGTCTTCGGGATTGAGTCCTCGCCGAGCTGCTCGCGCAGATACCAGGCACACTTGTTCACAGCCTTGGCGAACGTGCCATAAGGAATGTCCTTGAAACCATCGGCTAGATTGGAGCTCTTGGGCACTGAGACGAACACTCGCTGAGGATCGCTCTCGGCCACTTCGTCGAGCACGGCAGGCATCAGCCGCCGGCCGCAGTTGGGCGGAACCTGGAGGTTGGGATGTTCGAACACCATTGTGGATAGGAATGATAGTGGTCAAAAGATCCTTGCTTGGTGGGAGATGGCCCCAAGTATAAGTAATGGCTTATTGCATCCCTTAGGCGATGTAGTCGATTAATTGCCCGAGGCAGTAGATCCTGTACAGCGCTACACTTGACGAAACAGGACAGTATTGGTAATGACAATACCTGTTCCTACGCACATAGGAACGGTGGATGGTAACCTTGGCTCGCTATGTTTAGCACTACCGTGTTCAACGTACATCAACTTCCTAAAGGGGAACATACTTCAGGTCATAGTTTATATTGACTGTACTAGTGACAGCCATTTATTGGGTAAGCGAGGGTTGCATCGGCGGATAAGGGCCAGAAGTAACCCTGACAGGGAAACTGCTTATTGCTCCCTGCATAACCCCCGCTGGCATCCGCAACGCCTTCCACTAGTTTCAAGCCTCAACTGCGCCAGCGAAGCAGCGTGGGTGGGGGCCACACCAACTCCGGAGAATTTTAATACGCCTCGAGCCATGCCGGCGCTAGGCCGTTCCAGCCTTGGACAGGCTAAATTCTAACGTCAGAGGCAACGCTGCGTCTGCAGGATTCACATTGGTCAATGGCTTTGGGGCGGGGTGAAACTTCGGCACTTCCTTATCCCAAGGCTGTTTGTGCTGATCTCAGCCTGGTCTGACTGGTATCTATACTGGGCAGAATTGACAGAGGTCATTGGTCACCCATTCTCACTTTGACAGATTTAAATTTATGGCTGCATTGTGATCGACATCTTCAGTGCCTTGAACCGCCCAGGCAGATACATGTCAACGAACTCACCGGAGCTACCACGTTCAACACGAGCAGATATTACAGGCTTACAGCCAAGACAAATGTTTCTAAACCATCACGGAGGTCATACGGCCATATCTCATTTAACATGCTAGATTCAACAGGATCTGGAACCCCAGCTTTCGCCCCCACGTACGTCTCCATGTTCATACCATATCTCTCGGCGCCCTATTCGGCAAAATCTGCTCCATACTTGCGGTGGGCAAATCCTTGGCCGACTTATTCCCCGACTTACCCTGGAATGAGCCCGACCCATTGGCACCAGAACTCGATTGAGTCTTGGAGGAAGACCGGATGCCCAAGTATGACATGGTTTCCGAGGTCAACTTCATGAATGGCGTAGTCAGTGGGCGGAGAGCGGGCACACTGCCGATCATCATGGCAATGTTGCGCTCCATGCCCGCCCACATGAGACCCATCACCGTCGTGTAGGAGGCATCGCTGATCCCGTTTTTGAGGCCCAGGCCGGTTTCAATGGTGCGGATGGTGGCGAAGACGCCCGTGCTGGTTCCCTGTTAGTCATGGTGCGCTTGTATGAGTGAGGTAGTGACTTACATGACGCCGAGGCCCATCAGCCCACACAGGATCATCTTGTTTCCGCGACTGACCTGTAGGTCTTTGAAGAGGAAGATTGGTAGAATGGATAGGAAGTAATCGGTTACTGCGGACCAGGCTGTCGTTGGGATCTTAGTTAGTCGTGATCTTACAATATCAGGGGAAATAAGTGTGACTGATGTATGCCTACCTCCCTGAAGCAGCACAAGGCTGATCTCAGTCCTGAATTTCCAGCACGTTCCAGGTATGAACGGGTTCCAAGACTTGCGTGGCGGATCGCATTGTGCGTACAACGAGATGATGACCACAGTATTGACCGCGAAGACCAAAAACGCAGTCAGGTAGCACGTTACCCGTAGCACGGTATGGCGCGACCCCTTGAGGATACGTAGGTATGATAGACAGATGGAGATTTTAGCAAAGCTCAGTGCGTTGATGCAGAACACCTGCGAAAGCAGATCATAGTACATGGCTGTGACGGCGTCATTCTTCGGGATGTAGACTAGGTGACGTCCCAGTCCTTTGTCGACGGCGACAAAATCGAAGACAGTCGCTATTAAGGCTTGAACCTGAGGGTGGACAGACTTAGTTTCCGCTTCCCAAGAGTGTAGAGCGGGATGAATGAATTACCAAGGCAAATATCATGAGGTAGTCATCCCAGCTCATGCGGGCATATACGCTGCGAGCCACACCCCGCAAGGACACCACAATGAATGCGCATACGAAGGTGACGGTGGTTCCGACCAGGAGTCGGTAGCCGATGCTCACATCAGGCGGCCGGGGGCCTGCCATTTTGTCCATCTTTACAAGGGGCAACGAGTAAGGCAATGAAGAAAGCAGAGGAGGAGAAGACAGGTGAGGGGTCAGTTCGGCTCCGAAACCCTGGGTATCCACGCTTTGAAAAAGAAAATGTCTCTTGGGCTAGCCAGCGCGTGGCGAAGGTATTGCATGGTTGTGACTCTCGTCGTTGGCCCCATTGCAGGCATGTGCATACGGCGTCTCCGGTATGTCATGAATAAGGAATCAAGACCGGATGGTCATGCAGGAATACGAATAGGGTGTCACACGTTGCCAGTAGGAGACTGGACATTCTGCATGCTAGTCTGGGCAGAGGATATGCCTCCCAGTGCCTAGGGACAGGAACAGAAATACGATAGTCGATCTGTCGCACAAACCTCCTCCTACCCCTGCCATGCTGACGGGGAATGGCTTATAATAACCTCTGTATATTGCCCTGCTTACTGCGCCTCTCACCATCAGTCACTTTTACATGGGGCTATTGGCATGTACATTTCACCTATGCCGACTTGCATTAGTGGGACGGATTTTGGGGCCAAAATAGCAATGAAAGCAACTGCCATTGCATCCGGACGTGGGGGCCAGTCGGACCTGATAAAAGGATCGAACAGGTTGCATGAAGAAACCATAATACTGACTAGGCGGAGTCGAGAGCTAAAGCTAAGCATTACCCCGCTAGCTTCGCAGCTCACGTAAGACTGGAATGGCAGACCTGGCCAAGAAGCTAATGTACAAGAAGCTATTGCCTGGATAATATATCCGAGACGCTTGGCAAGGAGACAGCCGAACGAGATCCCCGCTTCAGTCAGTCCGAAGACGACAATAATTGGGCTCGCGTGGGATGTTTTATTTATAGCAACTCTCTAAACAGTCTCCTACGGTCATGGATTGGACATGGTCGACCTTGCTCCCTTGGTAGACTCGAGTCAGATAGAAGGACGTAAATTGAAAACTGCCATGACTCGTATTCATCCTCAATCAAGTAGGAAAACTATTTACAGAATCTTGCCCAGAAGCTCGTTCAGCTCCTGCACCACAAACTCCGGGTTGTCCTTCTGGATAAAGTGCCCTGCATGGGGCGCCTGCAGTGGCCCCTTGCTATACTCAGCCTCAGTAATCTTCGCCAACCCCTCGTTGTACTTCTGCCAGTATGGGTTGACGAAGCGGTTGGTGACGGGCTTCGGGGGTCCCATCTTGGCAGATTCTTCCGCAAAGGCATCAAAGTCATGCCCCACCACCGTGACGTAGGGGCCATGGCCATCAGGGCCCTTTAGCAAGGGACCGTCACTGGCGGGGAGTAACTCCCGCAGGTTGCGTCGACTTAGACCTTCTTTGCTGCCAACATCCGGGTGGAAAATGCGACGCGCACCGGCCCGCACGGCGCGGATGGCCTCCACAGGGAGGGGCCCAAGACTAGCGGCATCGAAATCGGGGGCATCGGGGTCGGGGAAGACCGATACAAAGTCTGAGTTGGCCAGCACGCTGTCCAGCAGCAGTAGACCGGCCACGGTGCCGGGGTATTCTTGAGCGTAAATCCGCGCGAGAGCGCATCCGATCGAGTTGCCCACTAGAACAAGAGAGACGGAGTCTACATCTGCAGCGCTGAGTTTGTCGGCGGCAATCTGGGTGATGAGCTGGCGCAAGTCGCGGACGGCGGTCAGACAGTCATGACCGTGCATGGGGTCCTCTGCGCCGGCATCCGAGGGATCGCGATCGGTGGTCTGGCCCTGGCCATATCGATCGTAGGTGAGCAAGGCTGGGGTGGGTTTATCCTGGCGGAGAGCTTTCAGTTGCGCAATGACCGGTTGCCAGAAAGCCTGAGGCAACCCGAGACCATTGAGAAAGACGACCAGGACGGGCTTCGATGTGTCCTGGGGAGACTGGTAGCTGTAGCTGAGCTGTGCCGAGGGCTTGGTGGTGAGGGCGATAGTTTGAACGTCCGCCATGTTGTGGGGGGCCAAGCGATGAGGCGCGGGAGGATGAATAAGGTGACGAGAAGCAACACGAGAAAGCAAATGCAGGACGGTCGGAGAGCAGAAATCTCACAGGCTGAAGGATGCAAAGGCCAAGCTTGTCGGGGTTTTTATAAGCGCTGGAGATGCGGCTGAGGCTGAGATGAGGGGTAGAGGCGCTTTGGCGGGCTTTTCTGCTTGTCTCATCTTACGACCGGCAATTTCTTTGTTGGTCTCAACGCTAAAATGCCAGCTTACGATTGGGGCCAAAAGGACACCAACCAGCCGTTGGTCTGCGTTAGGGCTGACGGGCTTGCGGCTGGCCCCCACCCGCTATACAGCATTATACCCTGATATCCGTCTACAAGAAGGGTACAACTCGCCATGTCCCCATAGAATGGCATTACCACCAGTTTTCCATGCATCATCATGGGGCAGCCCATTGTAGAGACACTGCTGGTCTTCGGAGCCTTCGGGCTACTTTGGGTCTCGTATGAATATCTGCGACCGGGTAGTCTCCTACGGCGGCTAGGGAGCAAGGGGCGTAGGCTGCCTCCCGGTCCCCCAGGGCTCCCTATCTTCGGAAACATGTTCCAATTCACGAGAGCCCGGGATGCAGGCTTATGGGGCCCGTTCGTGAGTCCAGGTTTCTTGCCTTACGCCGGTCTGAGTAACTAACGCATATGGCCGGCAGCTGGCTTCATTACGGCAATACGGTCCGATGACGACGCTGCACATGGGCTCCCAGACCTGGGTGGTGCTGAATGACCCGCAAGTAGCTACTGATATCATCAATAAACATGGGAAGATTACCAGCGAGCGGCCAGAGATGCCCATTGCCAGTGATTTGGTCAGTCACGGTTTGCGCACCGTGATTCGTCCCACTGCTGCGTGGACCGAGGGGAGACGGGTGATGCACCACCTGCTTAGCGGATCGGTTCTGCGCATATACGGTAACTGGCAGGAGATTGAGTCGCTCCAGATGCTGTCTGCTTATCTACAAGAGCCCAAGCGCTGGTACGCGCATCACTATCGCTACTCCATTGCCGTGCTCTACCGTCTCGTCATGGGCGAGAATCTCTCCAAGACACAGGCTGAGTTAAATGACTACCAGAAGGTCACGATGGAGTTCACCTTGAGCTTGCTCCACAGCATGGTGGACTTCTTTCCCCAGCTGGATCGCTGGATCCCCACCTGCCTGCAGTGGTGGCGGCCCTACTGGGCGAAAATGGGCGACTTCCATCATCAGGTGTTCAAGTCGTGGTGGGACCCCATTCGCGATGCCGTTCATCAGGGGACAGCCAGCTCTGGCTTCGTGCGGGACACACTGCTCCATCCGGACATGCGGTACAAGGGCACCGAGGAGGAAGCCATGTACCTCGCTACGTCCGTCATCGCCGCCGGCAGCGACAATACTCGCATGACGCTCAACACTTTCATCATGGCGATGATCAGCCATCCGGACACGATGGCTCGCGCTCGCCAGGAGTTAGACGCCGTCTGTATCAACGAAGATGGTACGCTGAGACTTCCTGGCATGGTGGACTTTGAGCGTCTACCCTACCTGGCTGCCATGGTCAAAGAAGTCCTTCGCTGGCGGCCTACCACTCCTGTCACGCCCCAACATCAGCTGACGGCCGACCTCGAATATGGAGGGTACCGTTTCCCGAAGGACATGTTTCGTAGTCAATGGGATTGCAATTAGTCAGACATGCGAGAAGCCAGATAATTTTGATCCATCGCGCTGGCTGGACGGCAACGAGGGCAACATCGTACATAATCTCTGGGCGTTTGGTGGTGGACGACGTATCTGTGTCGGTTATCGAGTTGCCCAGCAGGCACTATACGTGGCTATGGCACGAATCATCTTCTGTTTTGATCTTTGTGCGGTAAGTGCTTCCCTTTGTTTATGTCTTCTTTCGTACTTCGTTCTCCTGTTGTTTCGGACGAAGGGGCGTGTTGCTAACTCAGGATAGGATGGCCCCATCAACACTCGGAAACTTAACCACTTTCACATCCATAACGAACCCTTTCCTGTTAAGGTGACGGTTCGTAGCCCCAAGCATGAGCTGTTGATCAAGGGAGAAGCAAAGAAAGCGGGAACAGCTTGTTGAACAGTGACCTAGGGGATATGCACCAGGCAAGGAGATGCCAGGCCGACATCGCGGAAGATTGCATCGTTTTAGCCAGCTCGTAAAGGTATAAGGCGTATGTGTATATAGTAATTACTTTTATATATTTTAATGTCAGGTAAACTATATCTTTACACCTCTGGTGCAGTCCTTGTGGATTCGTCGATGAAAGTCACTTCATATTGCTAGGTGGTGAAGCTTAACGTATATATACTAACGAGGTATCATAACGGTCCTCAGAACATGTTGGCAGTACTCTCGGCCGTCACAAGACGCCGCAGCATATGTTCTGGATTGGCGATTCGGGCGTGGGCAGCGATTTCCCCAAGACTGGCAGTGGGAAATACCAGAAGTGCATTCTACGGGAGATTGGGTGACGTCTAGTGAAGCAAAACGTGACTAGGTCCCGCTTGTAATACACCAGCTTTTTGGCAGTAAACAGAGATTTGCTGTTATGGTTGGTGGTAGTCCTGCGCGGAAATATATCCAGGTCGTCTGTGTTGCTGAGGAAGCCGCAAAGAGCAATGGTTGCATGGCCACATGTATTGCTATATCCGTGACCATGGATATAGAGGATGCCCATATGGGATTGTCCAGTGTCTGCTAACTCATTGTTTGGTGGGACCTCTCGGACTTCGCCTTTTATGCAAGGAATGTTACCGGAAATTCCATTGCGATAGTATGAACAGGAGGTTGGGCGTCATTTTGAAGACCCAGCTACTTGATCGCCTCCATTTCCAAACGTAAACTGTTACAGGGCTTGGCTGAAGCAGTGCTAATTCAATCGGGTTCGTACAACTACATGAACCAGCTTTCTGCCTGAAAATCGCTCCATGTAAGCGTCTGGTTGGTTTGCCCTGACCACAAAGAACACCCGAGCTCGCGTTTTGTCCCTCTATACACTAATCCTGGCGAAAAGCAGACCCTGAGCCACGATTGTTTTATTTCTCATAGGTCTGAAATGGCGTCTTGTGGAGACATCGCGTGATCCATGATTGGCTCGTGAGACGGTATGTTTATATCCATTAGAGATAAAAACGGCCTTGATCCCAGGGAATGGCAAGGTTGCCCACATATGGAAATAAGTCAAAGGGTTACGTCGCAGTAGTTCAGAAGCGGGCATGATGGCAAAATATGCACCCGGGACGGTATTCAGACCTTTGTTCTGGGAAGTTTGATAATGTCAAGAAATATTAGACTTAGGCTACCTACAACTCATCCTCCTGTATATAATACCTAACTTTCCCCTCAAACAACCTCCTTGCAGTACGCGACACTGAGCAACTAGCGACTTCTCCGCCATTGTCCATTTCCACATCTACCTTGATTGTTCCTTGGCTATGTTCAATTAGTACATCGCGCCCCGACCCACAATGCTCTTCTTTCTGGTAGTCAGGTGGAGGTGACTGCGCGGGAGTCGGTGGCAACGTCCCATGCATGATAGAACCCATGGCGGAGAGACCCGCCACGATTGTACCAGGGTAGCTTAATGCGACGGCTATTGTCACGGCGCCTGTGAGCTGTAGGCTTGGATGCGGTAACCCCATGGAGTAGGCTTGTATGCGAATATCTGGCCTAGCCTTGATGCTGCCGCCAGCTTGGGTAATCGTTGGGGGGAAAACGAGTGCAGCTTTGGGCGTACCACGAGTCCTACCGGCGGCTTCGACGTCTGTTGCTAGCCCCATCGCGACTGCACCGGCGCGGCGGATGGACTCTACAAGATCATTCCGATCAGAGTCGGATGGATTTGTTCCGAGAAGGGTTGCCGATATTGATGTCGTATCGATGAGGACAAAAGGGTTCGCCGAGTCAATAAGTGTTACACGAACGTCGAAGGGCTCACGGCCGGGCATGAGTGGCTGCACCCAGAGTGTCTGCTGTTGCTGGTCTGCGGAAGGAAAAAGCTTCCCAGTCATACTGCCAAAGGGTTTGACAAATCTGCACTTGACTTCGCTCCCAGGCGTTTTGACCCCAGAAATGATAAAGTTGCCATCCTCCTCATAGTCTCCTGAGCTGTTGAGTGTGACAGTCTCGATGACTATCCGATCTGTATTTGTGTTGTAGATTCTTACATCCATCTATTCGTCGGAAATTAACCGTTTTGCTCTTCCTTCTGTAAACTCTCGCCCAAAGGACAAAACATACCTTGGTCTGTTCTCGCTGAGGCTTGATCAGGCCTTCCTGGATGGCAAATGGTGCCACACCCGCAGTCATGTTGCCGCAAGTACCGGTAAAGTCTACTGACTCTTTGCCTACAGCAACTTGAACAAAGGTCCAATCGATATCGGCGTCTGGCCTTTGAGAGCGCCGAACGACGGCAACTTTTGACGTCGTTGATGTCCCTCCGCCAACACCATCAATCTGTCGAGGGTCGTTCCCTCGAGATCCAAGAGCAGAGACCAAGTGAGGAGCCCAGTCAACCTCCTTCATCGGTAAATCCTTTTGGTGCAGGAATATTCCTTTGGAGGTACCCGCGCGCATGAGAACACATGGTAGCGCGTGGCGCTTCAGCCGCCGCGTCTTGGTGACTAATTCAGTAGCCATATCGGGGAGATTAGGTCGGGCAAGTACCGGCAGCATCAAAGTCTTTGGATACAGTACAGCCAGAATATCGCCAGGGAGCCACTTGGAATATTCTTGGGTTTGGCGAGTGCTCTGCTGAGAACTTGCGGCACTAACTTGTTCATCGGGCCAAAGCCGTGGCATATAGTGTGACTAAATATGGCCGCATTTTCAAAACCAGTAGCGCTCCAACCAATGTTAGTGTATAATTCCAACCCAACAGGATCGTTCCAAAACGATCGTGATAGGGAATTGAAATGAGGCGACGGGCGGGTTCACAGCTTTGAGAGGGCTCCACATCCAACGGGAGTGATATGCCCGCGGGAGAAAACGGCTAAACGGGCATTTCGTTTCGTCCGCGGGAACCCAGTGGACTACCATCACCAATCTGTAAAAGGGAAGCTATCTAGTGACGAACCATTCAAGCCAAAAAGTGGATCCTCTAGGGATGTAGGCTCGCAGTTTGTCGGTCTCCAGCCATACTGCCACTGAGACGTTCCACTGGCTGTCTCCGATCGATGCGCACCATTGGTGACATCAATATCTGGACGAAGAGAAGCCTGGCTTCCGACGTGCCGCGCATTGTCCATCGTCACCGTTGCAGGAATATCGCATTGATGCAGCGGCATCCATGGTGCTCTAGACAGCTGGGTGGGGGTTCCGTTGGCCTCGTAATCAAGTAGTCTTGCTCCGCGGGTGCTATTCTCATGTAGAAAGCTCTGGATAATCCCATCGATATCTACCCAGTCCGATCCAGGGGACTGTATCGGCTGACCGGGACTTTTGGTGTTTGAATATCCCGTCACATTGCCACTAGTCAGACTATTGTGGGTTTCGGTACCGGCGCTCGGCTGGACGCTGACATCGCCATCAGTAGCACGGTCATTGGGCTGTGGATCTCGCTCGGAAGATTTGACCGGTGGGTCTATTTCTAAAGCGTCAAGTGAGATATTGTCAATAACGACGCCAAGCCTTTTCATCAACCCTTGTACAATATTAGCCGCTTTCTTCACTGCCGAGTTCGTCTCTTGATTCTCCTTGAAGACGGCGAGGCAGGTCGCTAGGTTGGCATGTGCTATCGAGTCATGCCTACGTTTGGCCGCAATTCGGGTCAGAATCGTAGCAGCGACATATGTCGCGTACGATATCAGGTAGGGTGCTCGTCTGATAGAGAATGCACGGTGATAAGCACGCAGCAGATTGCTAGTATTTGATGCCGCCGAGGCGCACTTCATGAACGAATCGACAGATATCGACGGAGACGTGCTATATAGATGGCCGTCTGCTACAAATGGACGGTGCAACAGAATGACAAGTGAATTATGCATAGCGCTGCCAAAAGTCAGTCCAGTACAACGACACTCTCAGAACGGGTGGGCCGACTTACTGAAGGCTGGACACATGAGGCGGCGGGAATGCCACGCTGCGAGCTTTCCCAGGGTCAAACCGCAGATGTTCTGGCAACCTTGCCTTCCATTGGTCCAATCTCAGCTGCAGTTCGTCCAGCATACTTGCCAGCTCAGCGGGACTTTGGTTTGAACTGCGTTCCGTATATATACTGCTTAGGATATCGCTCATGATGAGCGAGAGTTTGCACAGACACGTGAAGGTAGATATGCTGTACGCCGGCATTCCAGGGTAGTCAGGTGCTGATGTCGTATAGGCAAATGGCTGCCAATGCTCGAGCTCCTCGTAGGTGTCCAGAAACTTTATTGGGACAAGAGCGTCTGTGTCTTTCAAGCTAACGGGACGGCCTTGATACAGGCTCTGGATCTTGTCCACAACTACAGTTTTCGACTTTGGTCAGCTAGTCGGTTTATTCAGATGCGCCCTAGGTATATGGAACTTCCTTACCAAATGCACCCCAAAATACCCGCCGTCGAATTTCTAAATCCTCGTCTGAAAATCGGTGCGTACTAGTCAAGTCAACATGCATTCCCATGTCAATCAACATGCGGAACGCCAGACCAGAGTACAGCCATGCGGCACTCCTTTCATCTCCGAGAGCAAAGAGTGAGTTTGTCATTACAAGTAGTGCTTGAATTGTTGTGATATCACTATGATCTAGTGCACCACCTAGGAGTTCGCGGACTCGCTCGCGATACCTCCAGCCAGCTGTACGGACATCGTTTGGGTCTTTGCGAACCTCTAACCTAGGGCTGAATTTGGCCGCGCCAAAGTAGATAGCGTTTAGAAGTAGCTTGGAAAAGTAAGGACCATTGCAAGCCATATCTCTCATGAATGCTGGGCGGTATGTTATTAGAAATGAATGATGTTGTCGATTCCAGTGGAGCGAGAGGAGATGCATCCCTAGATCCGGATCAACACCATCAAAGTCAAGCTTAGCCTGGCGGAAGTTTAGCTGTTCCATCTGACCTGTTTCCTAGTTTTTCAGCCTCAAACCCGATATATCATGGACGTGATTGAATAATGAAATTGAATATAACAGTATTACGGCCAAAGATTATAACGATATTGGCGTGCACAGGAGTCACCTACGTTGTTTTGCTGCTTCAGCGACGAGGCCCCGCTCTACCCAGTCATCCGGCATTCGAGGGCGCTGATCCGCCCCGATTGATCGATCTTGAAAGTGATCTTCAAACAAAGCACTAGTCCGGCCGTGATAGCTGGACTCGCCGTTTGCTGAAACCAAAATGTGAGCCACTCTAGCTTCAGACGACCCAGTCGCATCGCCTCGGTCGATATCACCATTAGAACGGTTACTAGATGCTGTTCCTTCATGCATCTCTTGCAATTGGTCAACCCTACCGTCGCCCTGTGGCAACCGACCTGGGTGAGAGCGTCCATCTTTGCCATCGTTCAGGGCGCTCTTCTCTAGAGACCTGCGGTGCCTGGGCCGGTTATGGCGCGTATCGCCAGCCTCCCGAGCTTTACTACCAATGGGCTCATAGACGCAGTCCTGTGCGTACGTCTTACAGTTAATGCAGACAGGTCGTTCATTATTGCATTTGATCTGTCGTCACCTCGGCTACGGTCAGCGTGGGGTACAGCCGCCAGGTCAGGGTCCTGAGCAGTCTCGCACCTTTCTTCTACGGCAGAACGAACAGGCCTCGATGGCACGTCGTCGACGGGAACGAAGCGATGGCTCCGAAGGGGGAACGGATGGCTTGCTGTGGGTAGACTCCATGAATATCAAAGTGGATGCAGATGCGAGTATAAAATTCCGTCCGCGGGGTCTTCAATCTTATCTCCGCCGGACGGGCTGTTCACGTGGACGGCAACACCCGACGATTGCCGACGATTTGAATGTTGCTGCGGAGGGAATCGGGTAATGGGATCCCGCGGCAATACTTCCCATCTCATGCAATTGAAGCCATGGCCGACCGGTAGTTAATATCCCATCCAGGACTTTGCTGCTCGCTGGGGCCTTTCACTACAGTCCTCTACCTCTACTCCTAGAAGCTGTGAGGTCATTGACGACCCTCGTATTTCAAGTTCAACCATCTTCTCCATGGCGACCATTTCCGAGGCCCAGCTGCAGTCTACGGCGCCTGCACCGAAGACTCGGGCGCAAACGGCTAAGAAAAATGTCGTTTCTCCCGGCATCTCACTAGCTGCTGGAGCTGTAGCTGGAGGAGTGGAAGCAACCGTCACTGTGCGTTTATCCTCTTCCCTGTTGTCTCGCCCGCCCCACTGAACTCAGCCCGTGCCACAGTACCCCTTTGAGTTTGCTAAAACACGAGCTCAATTAAGCCAAAAAGCTGCCAGCGGTATTACTAGTCCGATTTCTAGGAATCCTCTGGCTGTGATATTGCAGACGGCGCGCATGATGGTGTTCGAGCTATCTATACCGGTTGCTCCACCCTGATTCTCGGGACTGCCTTCAAGGCCGGGGTGCGTTTCTTGTCTTTTGACACTATCAAGAATCTCCTGGCGGACGCAGATGGAACACTGTCACCAGCCCGGGGCATTCTGGCTGGCATGGTCGCGGGTACGGTAGAGAGCGTAGTCGCAGTTACTCCCACAGAACGGATCAAGACTGCTCTGTGAGTCTGTTTCCTACCATCCTTCTTCATACGCTGATAGGATTCGTGCGAAAATACAGTATCGATGACGCACGATCATCCACCACACGTCGCTACAAGGGTGGATTCCATGCCCTCCGGACTATCGTTGCTGAGTCCGGCGTTAGTGAGGTCTACCGCGGCTTGATCTCTACGACAATGAAGCAGTCGGCCACGTCTGCTGTACGTATGGGCTCGTACAACGTCTTAAAGGAGATCGTTTCATCTAGCACGAGCATCAAGGACCCAAAGAACCCCGCACTGACATTTGGAATGGGAGCCACTGCCGGCGTCATCACGGTATACATGACCCAGCCCTTCGACACCATCAAGACACGTGCTCAAGGGGCCAACGGCGCATCGACCATGGAAGCGCTGCGAGATGTGCTGAAAGACGGAGGTGTGCGAGCCTTGTGGCGGGGAAGTTCGATGCGACTAGGCAGGCTGATCCTCAGTGGTGGCATAGTGTTTACGGTCTATGAGAACGTCGCCGCACTTTTGATGGGCTCAAGGGCACGTACTATCGATGGTTGATACTGGGCACAATTTTAGATTTGTTTGTAAAGGTATAGAATTATCAATTGAAGCGTGACATAATATCAAGAGTGCCCATTCCCGTCCATCTACCTCCCGCGGATCTTACGATTACTGTTAATGCCCAGAGCTCGCCAAGATGGACGCCATGTCCTCTCGCTTGATGTCTTGGATCCGCGCCAATGGGCACAGATACTTTCTCGTATCTCGTTCTACAAAGCAAACTTTGTATACTCTTTCTCCCGCGGGATCCACAACATTGACTGTGCGGGGCCCGCAAACCCAATGTTGTTTTATGCCCAGACAGCCCAATGTCGCGACATATATAAGGAACGTGGACTTGAAGACATATAGGGGTTTCCTCCTTCGAAATCCTTCTACGCTTCAATTGTTGTCCACAGACAAGCCGAACACCATCTCAATCATGGCTACATCGCTGACAACCTGCTCCTCTAGCTTAAAGGGCGAGGAAGAAGCCAATCGCATCACAGATGTCAAGTCAACTGAGAAGCATATCGAGGATGTCTCGGAATATAATGAGCAGCCGCCTGCCGATGGCGTCTATATCGCGCCGGCAGAGATTCAGGCGCGGTTCGAGCTTTTGCGTGAGCTGAGCCTGGAGCAGATGGACGTACTCAATAAGCGTGTTCTGAAGAGGATTGACTGGCACATGATGCCCTGCGTCACACTCATGTTTCTAATGAAGTAAGGCCCCCTATTACCTTAGATATAGACCAAGGAACTAACCTTGTGTTAGTTATCTCGACCGGATCAATGTTTCCAATGCCCGTCTTGCCGGGCTACAGAGCGATTTGAATATGAGCGATACTGTTTGGAATGCTGGCATCTCGACATTCTATGTTGGCTACCTCGTTGGTCAGCTTCCTGGAAACTTACTGATGGCTAAGTCAAACCCACGTTGGTTCCTTCCAATCATAATGCTCATGTGGAGTTGTGGCACCATTTGTATGCCTGCTATGACCAAGTGAGTCATTGTCAAGAGTTCTTCGTGCACCAGGGCCGATAGCTAACAGTGCCATAGTGGCGTCGGGTTCTGCGTGGTTCGATTCTTCATTGGCCTAGCTGAGGCACCTTTTTTCCTGCTCTCACTCTACGTAAGGAAACCCTTCCCTCTATCTACTCCACCCGTTCTAAAGCTCATGGCCTAGTTACTTCTTCATGGTACACGAAGGAAGAGTCTCCGATGCGCATGGCCATCTGGCATGCTGGGAACACCATATCCAATATCATCTCCGGATTCTTAGCTGCTGGGGTTCTCGAGAATATGGATGGCATTAGCGGTCTGCATGCATGGCAGTGGTTCTTTTTGATCGAGGGGATAGCATCGATTCTTGTTGCTGTCGCATCGTTCATCTTCTTACCCGCCTGGCCGCATAACACTCGTTTCATGTCCGAGGAAGAAAGCCAGATGGCACAATACCGTGTGCTCGTGTCCAATGGTGGACGGGATGAAACCGTTGGAGGCACTTGGGATGGACTCAAGGACGCCGTCAAGGACCCTTTCACATGGTTCTTTTGCCTCATGCACTTTGCACTCGTTACTGCCCAAAGCTTCAAAGATTTCTTGCCGTCGGTGAGTTCCCTTTCCGTTTATGTAACAATATATACATCTCAACAACAGCAATCATTCGAAAGCCTCTATCTAACCAGCGAACCTAGATCATAAAAACATTTGGTTTCGACACCATGACCACGTACCTCGTCCAAGCCCCTCCATATGCTATTGCCTATATCTTTGCCTGCGCCGCAGCGTGGTCCTGTGGCAGACTCCAAGAGTCAACTTGGCACATAGTCATTCCTATAATCATCTCTGCCGCTGGGTGCAGTATTCTGATCAGCACCCTGAACGTCGGCGCGCGGTACTTTGGAATTGTCTTACTCATATGCGGCACTTACAGTGGGCTCAACCTACAGTTGTCTTGGGAGACTACCGTGGTTCCCTCGCCGCGAGCGAAGAAAGCTGCTCTCATCGCGATTGCCAACTGCATCAGCCAGTCCAGTCACTGGTTCAGCCCCTACTTCTATCCAACCAGCCAAGAGCCATTTTACCGTATGGGTGGCGGTTTGGTACTCATGGGGTGTGCACTGGTGGCGCTGTCTGCCTTTGCTGTTAACTGGAGGGGTAGGAGGCTTAATAAAAAGTTGGACGAAGCCGAGGGGTGGACGATGCACTCGGGTAGCGAGAGAGGCTGGAGGTACAAACTCTAAGCCACCGTGGCGCATTGTGATGGCGTTTGTCCACTTACCTAGTGTGTGCCTTGCGAAGTATGGGGCATTATATCTACGAAAGTGAGATGGACTACGGTGCAAGTTCGGACGGTCGAGGCCAATGTACGGTATTATACATCATGGTAACACCATGCTTGGAAAACATCAAGCAGAAGAGCCAACCCCTGTACCTCCCGACTTAGCGATATAACACACACACGGCACCACGGAGAACCTAGTACCCGAAATGCCATGTTGTTTTCTAACCATCTCTGGCAATGTTAATGCTCTCCGCCTTAACGTAAGACTATCCTCAATAATCAATTTAGTCGGTCTGTCTTGGATGACCTCAATCGAGTGATTTCACCTCACAGGCCATCACCAAACGTCAGGACAAGGCGCCTCTCACAGCGATGGTTTTGCTGCTCACCCATCTCTCAACCTGTGGCAAGATGCAATTTATATTCTTCTAGATCAGAAGGGCTGACTCTAGAACCCCAAATAGTCGCCTGGCTTATAGCCCGTGGATTCACCTTCCTTGTTGGTTTCTCAGATCAACTCCCTACTCTGGATATGATTGAAGATTCCAACTATACGTGGCTGCCGATTCCGGCTGCCTCAAAACCCATTCGAGCGATGTTCGCAATCCTCATAGATATGCCACTCCACCAATCTTGGAACTGGAGATACCGAAAAGGCCTTCAGAAGCTGCGAGTCTCATTGAATCATATGCCGCGCCTGAAGTGCTGTGTAGTGGAAATGCATCGTTCGAGAAGGGTTCGATCCAAGCTCAAGGAATCAGATCTCGACAGACTATGGCCAGAGCCTATGCTAATGAAGCATGGCTCAAACTGCGTCTAGAAACGCCGTATTAGGGCCCGCCGTATAGCGAAACATACTGTCGCGTGCCCAGTTACGCCATATGACTGCTAACAACTAATGTAGTCGGTTGGCTACTCTGGTTCGATTGACGATATCCAGAGGCAGGGCACCTATTCGAAGAAGGCACAATCAATCAGGCACACAAGTGGTGAGAGACATTAGAGACGTAACCGTACTCAGTTGTCTCCGATGACAAGATAATTTTTCTTTTTACCTTTTAAGCGATGGTAGGTAGGGCCTACTCGAAGGTATTGAAGGCTGGACTAACCATTCGATAAGCCAATCACCAAGATGAATGGAAGATGGCAAAAGGCTCACTTATCATGTTACCAAAGTTCGTCCTGTCCCTCTGGGCTTCCAACTTGGTCATTTTCGCCCCTAATGACCCCACAAGACATCACTATTGAGAGTTTGCTATAGTCGGAAACAGTCCGATGTTCGGGAGTCAGAAATGGTTCTATTTGCCGACGGGAGCGTTATACCCGCGGGATCTCTAGGGCAAATTGTCTCCCGCGGATTTCGTCTATGGAACCATGCCCCAGTTACACTAATCTAGTAATCTCCTTGCCCCAGAGATTTTTCCCCAATATGCGGGGGCCCGGATATAAATCTCTATCCTGCATATGTTGCGGAGTATACCTCGTGCTACAGTCCGGGGAGCTGCACGAAATACAAAATGCTTCAAGGACAAGCGTTGCGTCTGGCGCAGGTGCTTCTCATCGTCGCACCTGCATTCATATCCTACGGTTACAATCAAGCAGGAGTTGGGCCGCTCGCCACTTTGCAAACATGGTATGCATATTTTGTGCACGATCTACATTTGAATGAGAAGCTGACATCCCTCTTGGGTCCACACGTTCCCTGAGATCGACACAATCAACACCGACGGTACCGTCAAGGAACAAAACTCGACAAGAAAAGGCGCAGTTATCGCCTCCCTCCAGCTTGGGGCACTCCTGGGAGCGCTATCATGCACGTATCTTGGGGACCGTCTTGGCCGGCGCAAGACCCTTTTCCTCGCTGCTGTCATCGTCGTGATTGGCGAGCTGTTGGAAACATCAGCATACAAGATTGCTCAGCTTACCGTCGGGCGGGTTGTACTAGGCATTGGTGTCGGACAACTTAGTGCCACTGTTCCTGTCTTCCAGGCGGAGTGCAGCTCGGCAAAGAACCGTGGGCAGCATGTGGTTGTTGATGGCATTTGCATGGTCCTGGGCTTTGTTCTGTGCAACTGGATCGATTTCGGACTGAGCAAGACAAGTGGTCAAATGCAGTTCCGTGTCCCTCTTGCTCTTTCCTTCCTCTTCCCACTGATTATACTCGCCTCTGTGTTCTTTCTCCCGGAGTCCCCGCGGTGGCTGGTCTTGGTAGGCCGCCCAGGCGACGCCGCACGCAGTCTAGCAGCCTACAGGGGGCTCCCGGTAGAGGATGAAGCCATCCAAGCAGAAATTGCCAGCATCGAGTCTGCATTAGAGCTAACTGAGCAATCTGGTCGTATCACACTGCGCGAAGTATTCTCTCGAACCAATGAAGACCGGCTTTTCTATCGTTTCACTCTATGCATGGCCATCCAATTCTTTCAACAAATGTGCGGCGGTAACCTAATCTCAACATATATTTCTACAATCTTCGAGCAGAATCTCAAACTCGGCAGTGACCTGTCTCGGATCCTAGCTTCCAGCGCACTGACATGGAAATTTCTATGCAATTTTATCCCATTCTTCGCAATCGACCGCCTCGGTCGTCGGAAGGTCTTTATATTCAGCGGCACAGGAATGTGCATCTGCATGGCCGTATTGGCAGTCACAACCAGCTTCGATACCAGCAACAAGACCGCGTCGGTTCTTTCTGTGGCTTTTATCTGGCTGTTCAACCTATTCTACCCAATCGGGTTTTCGGGTGCAAACTTCGTCTATTGCACAGAGGTCGCCCCTATCCAATTACGCGTGGCCATGGCGTCCATATCTACGGCGAACAAGTGGCTATGGAACTTTATCGTGGTGATGATCACCCCTGTTGCGCTGGACACTATCGGTTATCAGTACTATATCGTGTACGCGGCTATTTCAGCTTGCATCCCCGTGTCGGTGTATCTCTTCTATCCCGAAACGATGGGCCGCAATCTCGAGTCCTTGAATCAGGTCTTTCGTGATGCCCCGTCTGTGTGGCATGTTGTGGCTATGGCGAAGGATCTTCCCAAGGGAGATGTGTCTACCTTGGATATAGAGCGAGTAGAGAAGAAGCTGGATGCGGAGCAAAGGGAGTATGCATGACGACTCCCTACTAATCATTTCCCAGAAAGGACGTCTAGAGACTCGGAGCATGGCAGAATGAACGAGCGGAGGCATCAGCCTCCTCCCAAAACCGCGAGAAGTACTACATATAGAACACCATCAGTTCGAGGGGCTGAGAACACCTGTATTTCAAAGATTGAATTGCATTATGGTACGGCCTTCTTGATCTGTATTATAGAACAGATATATGAATTCTACAGACATCCTAAAGCGTTTTGATCACGATAGTTAGTTGCAGACAGTTTTGTAATCTTGTTATACATATTGCAGTGCTGTTCTATTATATAGTACAAATGCCATGTTGTCATCATCCTAAAAGATCGCCCGGACGAGGGCCCAAAGGCAAAAATTGAAGCCAAGACACTAGACTTTCTTACAAAATCTACTGCTAGTACCAAGTTTGAAATCCCCGCCCCAAAACACATACGCGACTGGGTCGATCGTGATGGGCGATACTTTACCCTGACCGAACGTATACAAGGCCAAACACTCGAGCAGGTGCGGCCGACGTTATCAGAGTCCCAATGAATTTCCATTGCAGATCAGGTCGTCCAAGTTCGCAAACAACTTCGGTCTAATTTCACCTCTACTGCTATGCAAAGTGTCGACCATGGCCCTTGTTATCCGGGCTTACTATTTCTCGATATGGAGCCATATGGGCCATTTCACTCTGACCTGGACCTCTGGGATGCCCTTGCCATGACTTATAACAATCTCCCTAAAGATGTCTTCGAGAACTTGAAAAAGCGCTTTCCAAAAAGTGAGCCGTTTATGCTCACCCATTATGACCTTAGCTTAGGCGATATCATGGTTCGGAATGGGCAGGTTGTTGGTATACTTGACTGGGAGTATGCTGCTTACCTTCCTGTCTGGTACGAGTATATCTCGGCGTCTTTTGCATTCACAGAAATGGATGTAGAATGGAAGAAGGTGCTTCAGGAGCGTCTCGGTGTGCATGGTGACGCATATGATGATGCAAGGGCTCTTTGGAAGGACCTGATTAATCTGAAACAATATTCTAATGTGAATGAGAAAGGTAAAGAAGCCCTTGAGAGGCTAGCATCAGCTTAGATTTTCTTGATGTCAAATACATAACATTGCTAGTCCTTTTTTAGTAAGTACGATCTATGACCTCTCCTCTACCTTCCCTTTGGGTAATCTTCCTCATTATTCTTTTATCATAAATAATGATAGCTGCATTGGCATTTCGTATACTGACAACCTGATATGGAAAGTGAAAGTTCTATGGATCGATCTTGATCCCTTTTTAAGATTCGTTAAGAAATAACGCTTGCTACCACTTAATCCTTTTTTCTCTATCCTCACTTTGTCTCATGGCAGGAGTTAATATGAAGTTTCCACAATTTTATATATAATATTTTAGCATCTTCTTCGCTCACCCCGCCAAATCTGAGACACCGTTCGATGAATTCCTGAACCGACAAATGTAGAATTTGAGCTCCAGATTCATTAGATGCAACGATGGAAGGTAGTATTGACGGGTTACCAGACTGAGCAATATATAAGTGTTACGAACCCCTAGAAACCCATCAATCTTGAACGTACCTCTATTTTAATATAGTTACGGAGGCCTGTATTGTTGTTGGCGTGTAGGATTGTAGCTTACCGCTTTCTGTGTTGGTTGAGCAAATCGGAGCATTTCTGCATACCGCAGCGTATTCTTGGTGGTTCCTGTATCAAGAAAGCTAGGGTTGATGCAGGAAATGGCAGCAGTTCGACAGCTACAGCTTCCAGAGGGGTCAAACATATGCTTCAAGACCTTCGTCAACACGCTTTGTCGATAGCGAGTGTAGGGGCGTTTACACGTCTTTCCTGTGGCTGTACTAGTCTTCCTGGGATATGAAAGTCTAGTTGTCATTAACCTTTCCAATCGACAGGATACTGAAATATTTTACTTCTTCACTAGTCAGGCTATCTACGCGCGAAGCCAAGGGGAATATCGAAATTGTTATCCGGACGCGTAATAGAGTGGTTTGTGGTGTTAATCATCCTCCCATTCATCCGCCTGAAGAGGACTTCCATGTATATGTGACATTTCAAGCGTAAGATAATAATACTCTCGTGCTAAAGCTAAGACGCAAGGTAGTCAGGCTATGCATAACGCCAACCATTTAGATGGAAGGGAATGGTTTGGATATGCTGGTGTGCAGGTCAGTCCATTGGAGTAGCGCTGCATGGCCTGTCTCAGTAGTTACATAGCAAGGTCCTTGTACATCGTCATAATAACTCATGCTGCGCTCACTGAGGCCTAAATTCAATTTGGCACTCGTGTTCCTGCCAAGGTTAGTGACCATACCGATCATCCATGTGCTTGGGTAGATCATACTCGCACGCCACTGCAGCCCTCATCATAGAAGACTTCAAAACGACTAGTGATGCCAGGAGAAATTTTGTCAAATTCAGCTCTAGTCTCAGTTGTATATTTGCGATAGAGCGCCGCCACAAATGTGGTCATTTCTGCCATGGCAAGACTGCAAAGGTAAGTAGTCGATCTTGATATTGCCTATTGAACGGTGTCTTACTGCATTCCGATACACATCCTGCCACCGCTGGAGAAGGCCCAGAAGAATCTGTTCATTTGCGTGAGATCCTGAGACGGGTCGAGCCAGCGGTCTGGGTTAAATTTCAGCGGATCTATAAACACATCTGCGTTTCGGTGCAACGTATATGGTGAGATTGAAACGACAGTACGGGCGGGGATCAGATAACCGTCAATGGTGATAGCTTCTGGTGATGACCTTGGTTCAGATGCTGGCAGCGGTGCGAAGAGTCTGAGGGTTTCTTTGATAACTGCCTCTGCATAGGGCAATTTGTCCGCTGCTTCTACTCCGGGGATGCCATCCGCATTAAGGTCTTTCTGAGATAGACTCCGAGCTTCGTCGATAAGCTTTTGTTGGAACTTCTTGTGCTCAGGGCGAGAAAGCGACCAGATTGTGAACATCAGAGTATCGCTTGTGGTGTCAATGCCGCCATCGAGCTGATCTGCACATTCAGATGCAATATCGAGATCGTCCAAGCCGCCATCTTTCATGGTGTGGTGGTGTTTCCAGAGTTTTGAGATAAGAGACGACTGTTCAGCCTTCTCAGCAAGTGAAGCATCCGCAAATCTCTGGAAAGCGTTGGTTGCGTGAAGTTTGATGCTTGTGTACGGAGTTGGTTTCTGCATCGGGTAGAATTGGCGAGCAACGCAGCCGATGATTCCAGTCTGCGAGTATAGCCATGCTGTGAGTTTGGGATGATGGACAGTAAACCATGAAAGAGTGCGACTACCGGTGGCGAGGATATCATGAAGAAGAGCACGGTCTTCCTTCGTACCATCTAGACATGCCGTCTTCCCAAAATCGCCATAGAGGAACTCCGTGATGTTATCTAAGGAAAAGTAATGTAAGGTGGTAAAGATGTTGTGGGATCGGCCCTCTCTTTCCAGAAGTTCCATATACTTTCTAACCTTGGTTTCAATCATATGGGCGTTTCGTCCTTTGAGCATTGCAGATTTTGCATAGGCGTGAGCAAAGAGCTTTTTCCGTTCGCCATGCTGCTTTACTGTATTGAATGAGAACATGTTCTTCCGCCCGTATATCGCAAACATATGATAGAAGTTGGTCCTTTCAAAGCAGCTCCCTGCCCCATATATCGCGCGCAACGCAGACAGGCTGTTGAATGCCACTTCATTTGGACCGATACGAACTACTGGACCGTATCTCTCATGAAGTGCGTGTATCTTGCGTGTGCGACTGCCCTTGTAGTCCTCGTACGCAAGTCTCCATTTGGTCAAGGCAAAGGACTTGGGTCCTGGGATTCGTGCAAGAGGGCTTGAGAATAGCGACCAGTAGATATAATACAGTAGAAAGGCTACACTGCCTGTAGCGATTGCAGCGACTGTGATGGTCATTTCAATGCAGATGGCAGTAGGTCACCTAGGATTTCTTCCAATTCAACTTCCTAGTCAAAAATCCTTGTCTCAGCTTCCCGTCTGCGTAATGGCACACGGCGGTCAGCGGCATCATTTAATATAGCCGGCATTTGGTTGGATAGGATCGGTATACTTGGGGTTGAAGGGAAATGATATGGTGACGCAGAGACCATCCGTAGGAGCGGTTAGGAACGGATGCATGCGGGGTGATAGTCAAGCACGCCGTATCATTTTCAAGATATCATCTTCTCCAACCTAATCGTATTCGGACCCCGCACGCCATGAGGTTCTATATTGCGGAGATATGCAACTGGACTCCGATAACGGACCAAGAGGATTATAGTTTGCAAATCTGTACTGAGTAGTGCTTGTATCAGTCAGGGATGGAACTTTTGTTCCCATGCATGGGATTCACCATGTAATGAGAGCAGCAGACAACATCCTTATATATGACATGGGCCTTTAAGATAGGCGAGCGTAATTCTGAAGGCGGACCTTGGGGCGTTGCAAACTTAATTAAATCTTATTGACCATCGTCTCCAAGATACAGTTGGCCGACCTCGGAGATCCCAATAGTAGAGGCACAGTAACTCGATGGATTTGTCGTCCAGACCTTGGCAATGCACCTCGAAAGAGTAAATGATCCCACTAACCAGTCAGATCATTCATATACTAATCAAGGGAAGATTGAATGTTTCAACAACGGCCCGAGAATACCCCGAAGACAGGCCTATCCCCCACCGGTCGATAGGACCGTGATTGAAATCCAATGAGTCAAGGCACTAGTAATTCCTGCATGCCTCATATTTGGACCTGGAATGATATAACATACCCTACATCTTTTCATTCTTTATGACTCCACGGACAATGAAATGAAAGCCTGTGATATCCTTGTCACCAGCTGGGAATGCTGCTTAGTAGTTTATTTATTCCTAGCGAGTCCTTCGTAGGTAACTATACGCCATATTCTTCCTTCCCTCCCAACATCTCGGACGTGATAGACCGAGGGCCAGAAGTGAACTAAGCTATAGTCAGGTATTTTGTCGATTTCAAAGACAAACCCATTCGACTAGCCACTCATTTCGCTCGCCTGGAAAGACCAAGCACCAGGAATCCACGAATGGCTCATAAGGACTCTATTACCAGAATAAGTAATAACTACCTCAGACTGGCCAATAAAGCCAGGTGCGTGACACATCCGCCGTCTACATTTGCCGGCCTAACACATTAACTGCCGGTCCACACAAGCAGCTGAAGATCTAGCTCAAGGGATCCTGCATCAAACTCCTTCATAGGTTTTCCGGTCTCTTTTTCATAGAACATACCGTTGCTTTTCTGGTCAATATTTTCGTCGTTGGCCAGGATTGCCATACAAGGTCTCTTTAGATCCCAGGAGTCGCCGGAAGTTTGAAATAATGCAAGGGTCTTACTGGACTGTCTTTCTATTCAATGAGTCCAATTTCTTTTGCCCGCCACTGAGGGATGAATGCAAAACATCCATGTGAGTACCAGTAATACAAGGTATAGCTTCTTACGTGCTCAAGGCTGCAAAGGATAAGCTTGTGGTCGTGATATCCTGTTAAATTCCCCAAATCTCTATTTATAACGCATAGAGTAATGTTCTTGTATAACAAAGCAGTGTGTACAGTCAATGAATTCTATTAACAATTTAACCAAGACAAAGTCCGAGCATGAACCAATAAGCGAGGAGCCATTCCGAGCCCACATCCTTGTTACTGTACTGAGACAAAAACGATTAGGCACTAGCATCTGCTCAAGGTCAGTGTTAAAGTAGGCGACAGCTTATGCTAGACTACTAACCTCGCACCACAGATCGCTATCCAAAGTGGACGCCAGCACCGGCGCCCACGCCGACATTTGCGGCCACCTCAGCATCAGCATCAGCGTTCGCACCAACGTGGATTCCGAAGGGTTCGGCGACCGCAAAGACCGCGAGTAAGGCTGTCGCAAGAGTGGAGACAAGCGTGAATTGCATCTTGTAAATTGAAACGCGGCTCTGTATGCGTTGCTTCAGTCTTCTACTATATCATCACCGCAGCGACAAAATCTCGGGCCTACCTACTCTTTAGACTGAGGCGTTAGAGAAAGGTAGATGAGTATGAACAGGCCGGTAGACTGATCGTTCGGATGAGAGATGGATGAGACAAAAATATATCTGAATGGGAGATTGGAGGCATTTTTATACCTTTTTCCTCATATGGGTTGTCCCATATTCGAGATCAGGTAGCGACATCCAGGAGCGTAGATGACTTAGGATCTGATACCGCGGACTGAAGTTTATCATCGCATCATTTTCAGTATTGTAGCAATGGAAGTGGAAAGATCTTCGCTGTGCAATGTGAAAGGGAGACGTCGAGGTTGCTGTCTCAATTTTCAGGTAGCGTATCTCGACTCAAATTTCGGACAATAACTAAGAAGCCGAGGATGTTCAAGAATCCGACCGTCGATGTCCATTGCATTCAGCAGCACTCTTACCATGCCATTTTCAGTATGCTTATCTCCAAGTACGGTCAATCAAGATCAGGGATTGCGTCTGTTGCTCTGAGTTTGAGAACAATGCCAATCTCGGTCCATATTTGAAACATCTTTTGTCAGCTCTCGTATATACTCCTTTTTCCATTGGTTTTTTTTTTTTTGTTTTTTTTTCTTACCGTGTTGACATTTTTCATTTTGTGCATGCACAATGGACACTGTGTCTTGGAAGTTTCTTCTAAAATTATTTACTTCGGTTATAGTTATAGTAGCCTATCTTGAGCCTCTGCCATGGTCAGACCCGCTGTAACTGCGTATTTGCCCCTGTATCGTGGACATCTAATCTGAATGACTCACTCCTCTGCTGCTGCTTTTTATTTTCCTCGTACCTCGCACGTACTATGTTACATATCATTCGAGGTTTTCTAAAGGATGTTAGCGTCTATATGTTTGAGCTTGGGTTCCTGCCGAGCATATATTACTTTTCAGCACTGCCCCGTAGATGGTCAGCCTAATATACTTGGCCGACTTGAAGTAAGCTCGGTAACATAATGATCTGAAGCTGATACGATCGGAATGGAGTTTCAAGCATTGACGATTTGCTACCACGGCCTAGTGCAACTAAGACGTCCTACCACCCCTAACGACCAAAACTGCATCCCCGAGCATGGCAATGAACAGGCAACCACGTCACTTCCGAAATGGCAAGTACAACCCCCTACTTATAACCGGGGGAAAGAGCACCATCCCGAGAAATTCGCGATAATGAAGGTGTTGTCGAGACGTAGATCGTGGTTGCCTTCGGGGTTCGGACGACTTTTCATGCTTTGCCACACGAACGGATCTCGGTAGTCGGGGCTTGGCTGCAACCCTGCATCGCAATAAATACATTGATGCGTCACCGTTTTCTATCGCTGAAAGAATAACGACATTTGGTTAACTCGCTTTCACTTTCGAGAGCTGCACTTGAATCACGATATAGACCCTTCAAAGCACTATCAATGGCATCCAATCTCAGGCTGCATCGAGTGACCACTCTCGAAGAGTTGGAACCGCTATATCACATCGGAGCAGACGCCTTCGGAGATGACCCATGTATGAACTGGTTCTACCCCGGAGGTCGCGACCATCCCGAGGATTTTGTTGTGCTATGGAAGCACATTCTGCAGATGGAGTTCTTCGACAAGGGGAAGTTTATTCTTGCGGCCACGATCCAAGATCACGACGATGACACACGTCCGGGCAGAGTAGTAGGATTTGCGGTATGGGAACGAAATGGGGTTTGCGATGCGGCCAGAAGCTGGCAGGGAACTAGTCTGTCTAAAAGTAGGTCGTTGGATCTCTGAGATCTTATTTCATTGATATCACCGTGTGTATGTTCCGGGACTAAGCAATGCATGTTTAATCCAGAGCTGAAACGACTAAATCTCAACCTAAAGATCGCTTATACGTTTCATCTGGACACACCGAAACGATCCATATCCTGGCCAAAGCTGAACCACTATCAAAACGAGCTCAAGTCAGCTAAAGCTAGTCAACCGACCGAGTCGTGGTACCTAAGCATCTTGGCCGTCAGCTCAAAGGGCCAGGGCCAAGGCGTCGGAAGGAAGTTACTTCAATGGGGAATTGATCGGTCGGAGGAAGAGCGTATTCCAACTACTTTGGTAGCAACTAACGCAGGCCTTCATTTGTATGAAAGTACGGGGTTTGAACGCACCGGTTGGTTGTTTTTTGATGATGAGCGGCAGAAACAAACCATCATGCGGAGAGATACAAGGTTGACTTGATTCATTCATGGCTCATACAATATCACATATGTGAACTAGACCCTCAATTGTATTCATTGTTCTGATTTTCTTAATCCTCTTGGAGCGGATACGCGACGTATCAAGCATCGAAACAACAATAGCTTCTACGTTGTATCCTTATTATTCAGGTCGCCCGTCTCCAACTTGATGACCAGGCTTGAAGCCTCCATAGCACGCCTGTTGATACATGGCTTTTTCTTTAAGCATGGGCACGGCGTTTAGAAAATGAGCGACCTTACAGAACCCATTCATTGAATGCTCACATCCGACTAAGTCGGAGATGGGAAGTGGCGCACCATTTAACACGAAGCGGATATAGTCGGTTGTGTTTTCTGTATCGGACAGGTCTGGATTCACATAAAGAGTGCTATCTAACACCTCGACTCTGGCTTCCTCGGGACAGGTCCAGACTTCGGAGATCAGGCGTGCTCCAAAAGGTGCCACCTTGTTCAACCGAAACTCCCGCGGGACGGCATGAGCTACCGTTGAAGGCATACCCCTTGGCCCGTAGTTGAAGTACTGGAGCCCCAGGGCAGTAATGGTACCGATAATGACTTTGTCATGTGCCATGTCCATATACAGTGGCTGGTGTAACGGAAATGTCGCGGCGTCGCTATCATAGGTAGTGTTAATACTGGTATCGCTTGAAGTGATCAATTTTTCTTCAAGCCTGGCAGCAAGCTCGAGAAGATATCCGATCCCCTGCGCTCGTCCCGTAGGGGAGCCAAATGCAGAAGCGCCGTAAAGCCGCATATCAAGGTTATAGGCGAAGTCAGCCCATTCTTGTTCGGTAAAGAGACGACAGAATGATGAGCTACCTAACGTTGCGTATTCATAGGGGCAAAGGTTCATCATAGCCAAAACATCAGAAGTGGTTAAATTGAAGTCGTCCGGGAAGTACTTCTTTAGCCTGGTGAGGGGGTCTTTAATCATCGCAGGAATGAATTTCTCCGATGCATGTGTCCTGTAAGTGCATTAGAATTTCAAGTCAAATGCCGAATGTGGGAGACTCTTAAGATTCTGTGTACCCTTCTTTTAGATCGCCTGGGCAGGAATGTTCGGCAGCAAGTGTATTGTTTAAACCGTCCCCATCAGGGATGACCACAAGATTGTACGAAGTATTGGCATGTCCGGGTCCGAAAAAACCAGCTGCACAATCAGCAACTTAGCTCAATGCACAACACGGCGATAAGATGGACTGACTTAGCCACCACCTCGCACTCTCCAAAACCCGCTGCTTATTCGTGGTTCTAAAGATTGGCTTCGGCCTGCGAGTGCCATTTGGATACACATTCAACTCTGGATCCCAGACAGCCATTCCAGGAGGCGCTCGATACACCATGCGTCCATACTTCGACCATATATCAGCCCCGGAGCTTGCCTCCGTTGCAGCACCCGTGGCAAGCAGGAGATCGCGACCGAGGAGGTACTTCCAATTCTGCAAAAAGGCCAACGGTCCTGTGCCGACAGAGACATCGTGGTCGGTATTATAGTTCTTAAGCTTCTTGCTGAATCTCTCCATCCCCTTCCCATCAAACCAGGCGGACTCGGGATAGCGCTCTGCATGTCTATGCAAAACATGAACTTGCGATAGCTCGCAACCACGGGGTACGCCCTTCGGGACTCCAAATCCATCGGCTTCCTTGTAGGGACTGAGATTTGCCCAGCTGCTAGTTACATCAAAGCCGGGAGAGTATGCAGGACTTGTCGGTGCGGGAGTCGTGGCTGAGGAGCTTGATGAAGGTGCATCGCGAGTGAATGCCAGGAGGGCAGCCAGTACAATTTGTAGGTTTAACATGTGGATCATTTCTCCTCTTGTCTTTCGTGTTGTGGTTCCTATGGAGCAGGGAAATGGGGAATCGCATCAACGGGAGGAAACTCCCGCCAGACGTCATAACATATTCACGTCATCGGCTCTCGGAGCGGGAGCGAAACAGAACCGATATAGGGCTTCGAGTATGATATGGTCAAAGTGACCAGGTAGAAGTGAACAAAAACAAGACAAAAGCAAAATATAAATTAATTCATCGTTTGAATCGAAGATTATTAACTTTCAAAATTAGTACTATTCGTGTTCCGTACAGCTATTGGTCTCTTGAAGATGCAAGAATATAGATATTATCTAGAAACAGAATTGCAAGGCACCATCTTCACATTCTAGGAAGATTAACACATAAGAGTGTCCTAATAAACTTCAGATGGAACTAGTCATCTTTGAGTACAGACCTCACTCGAGCGCTGCAGTCGAAGTTTCTTGGACAATGGTGTGTTGATATATGTGGTATCTACCTTCGACAATCAGGACGCACCTGTCACTTGCTCTCATCGTGCTCTGCCAAGTTGACATTAATTTTCGTACAAGATGGACATCATTTGCGTGAGGGCAATAATAGCCAGAGCCAAGACTATAAAGCCTTAACATAGAGGATGGATAGGACGGCAGCCACAGCGATGACTTGAAAGTAGGGGGGAAAGACATATGAATCAATAGTTCTATGATAGCTTGAAGCCAACTAACTGACTACGGTCTCTGCAAATGACGAAGAAGTCAATTCCCACACCAATTCCCTTTTCCTAGACCTCTTGGTACTAATATGGAACAATTGCATTTTTCCGCGTCCGTGACTCCGTTAACCCATAAGCACCCGTACGATCCTGCACAATGACTAGGTCAATTTGATGGAGACGGCGTGTAGTATCCTTGGTCCTCTTTCTTTTATCGCCACCTCATCTCAATACAAGAAATGATATATTATCATACACACAATAGCCAATGCAGGCATTCTGTACGATTTACAGTCACAAACAAGCTGCTACAAACTAACACCTGTCAATACAGAAGGCCTAGAACTGGCCGGCTTACCTCAAGGCTGGATCATAGATTGGAAGGTCAGCTGTGTGCACATGGTATAGGTCTAGATGGGCCGTTTATATTGCGAGGTAGGGATTTCATGGAATGTAGTAGGACTTCCTACCAGTCTTTTCTTTTCCTGCTTCTGAAAGCTCGTATAGACTCGCTTGAATCCCTACAAGAGTTGCATACTTGTGAAGTAACGTACTGCACTTAACATATCATGTCGGATGCATTGGCCTCTGATGTCACCTTGAGCATTGTCAATGAGGCCAACGGTGCAACGCAAATCATCCGGCAGTCTGACAAGGATAATAGGGGCCCACAGAGTCGACGCTGGAAACCTTAAACTAGATGTTGTGCAACTCTGCATTCTTGAGATTACATACAAGGGTACCCAGCAGCCTGATCCGCATGTTCCGGTGTTGTCCAAAGGCTGAGATAGTGTTTATCTGAGGTGTTAACAGGGCTTATGGTGACGCGATTGATTGTGATTCTAATCGAGACTAACCACACAGGGTTCTCACATGCAGATACGAAGCAACACCTGCACTAGGAAGGCAATGGCAAATTCCCGAGTATTACATCCCAGTCAATTGAGGTGTAATCTGCAGCATGGTCAAGCTTAACCACGTAATTACCACCACCCTATTCCATATCATGCATAGTACAAGGAGAATTGTAAGATGGCCGCATAACGGACCATGCTCCTAAAGCTTTGAGACATCGGTAAAAGAGTTAGTCGAATATCAAATTCAGACATGGCGAAAAAGAGTGAGTTAGGCGTGCAGCGAGAGAAATGATCTTTTTCGAAAGACCTTTCCTTCCTACAAGCGTTGCATATTTGTACGTACCACTGCGTGTACGCTTGAGAGAGAACACTGAGCAGTCGTCATTTGATATTGCAGTCCTATGACGATGGCCATTTTATCAACATTTGAGATGCGCCACTGGGCAGAATGTGGCGTCTACTTTATGCTGGTTACCTTTGGAGTGGTTCTTTTGTTTGCTCTGATTGTTCTGACGTCTGACTATGTGGACGGCTGGCTAAGGAGAAGGGCTTTGGGTGACATTCCTTTTGTAGATGAGGGAAGCAATATGAGCGCACGTTTGAGATGGTATAGCCTGAGGTTTGACGCTGAGAAAGAGTATGCCAAAGCATATAAACAGGTAGGTCAATGTTTAATGTCTAAACTTTCAATTGGAAATGCTGAACCAATATCCATCTAACACATATGCAGTACAGTAAGGCAGGCAAACCATACGCGACAAGAGTCCAAAGCAATGATCATGGTATCGTACTTCCCTTGAATTCGGCCAGGGAATATCGTGCCTATCCGAATGATCAACTAAGCTTTTTGCATGCATTGTCAGAGGTAATAGTCTGAGACTTGCTAGGGATGGGTACTATGTTCTAACCAAAAGATGCAGTTCGCCGATCAGTACATGCATACAAATGTGACAGATAGGACGCCCGTTCACACAGTACATTATTGCAATAACACTAATACGCTAAGTATGATTTCGCCGTTTCGGCTATAGAGGTACATCATATTATTGGCAAGCACTAAACCGCCTTTATAGGCCGATTTCATGGGGCTATGGTTAATGCAATAGATAAGACTTTGCCATTGACCATTGACAATCCGACAACAGGTGGTAAATGACACATGCAAGTTGTATAGACCCTCGCTAATCTAACGCAGTAGAGTGGAAGCAATTGAACGTATTTAACACTATCGTTACATTATGCTCAACGGTTGTGATGTCTGTACTGCTTGGACAGGAGTTCTGCATGGATATATCTCTCATACAGGCTATGAGCATGTACAATGCTACGGTGATGCCCAGCTGTTATGAACGCACTAGCTACCCCCGTGTTCTCCGGCCTTTTGTCTGGCGCCTTTCGCCCCCCTGTCGTGCAATGAAGTCACATTTTTCAAAGGCAAAGATGAGGCTGATGCCAGAGATAAAGCGCCGTATTGATATTGCGCGGCCAAACAAAGGGCGGATAGGAAACGATGGCCCTGCGTCTCTCTTGGATGGTCTCATTGAGACAGCATTCGAAAAAGGCATTTTGAATCGAAGTGGCAATCGCCAAGATGATGACCAGCAGGTTGATTTGTTGGCCGAGGAGATCATCCTTTATCATTTTGAACTCTCCTCCCCCATTGCATTTTTCGTAATCTTCAAATTGTACGCTATTATTGACCACATGGAATACTTGGCTCCTCTCAGAGAGGAGGTTAGCGAGGCTGTCAAACAGTCTGGTGGAAGATTGACACTCGATACACTGAAGCATGCCCCAAAGTTGGAGAGCTTTTCCAGGGAAACATGTCGTTTGTACGATATTTCATGTTGTGAGCTTTCCCCAGCTGCACCTACCTTTCATCGATTTGCTCTGCCCAATTCACCACATAACTACTGACGTGGAAACCCGTTCTCTAGTAACCAGCTTCCGCCGGGTGATGAAACCAGTTCACCTGGAGTCTATAAACCTATCTTTAAACCCAGGCACCATAATCATGTCCCCGGGTAGAGATGTCCATCTTGACCCAGATCATTATGAAAACCCGACCACATTTGATGGCTACCGCTTCTACGATGCCAGCCGCGGAACCTGCACTCCGCATATATCGACTACCTCCCCGACGTTCCTCACGTTCTCTCATGGAATAAGTGCTTGTCCAGCGCGAGTGCTTGCGACTCAAATCTCTCGAACCATCTTTATCATGTTCCTTCTCAAATATGATGTGGAGCTTGCGCACGAAGAGATGCCAGCCTATGGCATCACTAATGGGCCAGTGTATCTGCCTAATCCCTTGATCATGATGCGCGTAAGGCCTCGCCAGAAAGACGCGTTAGGACCGTGAAAATTTGTGTCAAATGTTGTTTTTCCTCGTATTTGAAGTGCTTGGCTTGAAGCCAGGTGTTGGGAGAGAGGAGTAGCCATGTGGATGTGGGCTTTGCAAAAGCGTGACCTGCTTTTCGGAATCAATGCCGTTTCACACACTGCAATTTTACTGCCTTCCATTCAATACGCATGCAGTTGGCCCACCTTTGGTTTTCAGTAATAAAGGTTATCTAAAAGTAGGATATGAGTATTAGTGCAACGCCGACACATAGCTGGGTGGTGTCAATAGCACAAGTCCAGTGTTCTCGGTATTTCCACGACAGGCGAGCACTGGTGGAATGAGTGCCACCAAAATGGCAATGCACTTTTAGTCGCGTATATGCAAAATGTACAGGGATTGTATACTGTTGGGTAACACATCAGACCACTGCGTAAATTGTAATGCTGACCTCGTACCATAAGCAATAGCCTGTGCTTGGCTGGCAGGAAAGACTGGAATATATACCATTGCTCCTGGTGAGAGACAATATTCATCTTCCCCCAACACCCCCGAACACGTTTGCCTTGAATCATTCCTTCCCCTTAATTTTGTAACACACCTAGCCAATTATCATCTACTTAATCATGCATGAAGCTCTAACCATAGATCGTCCTGCTTCGCAGAATGTTCATGACAGCCGCTTTGCTGCCCTGTACGAATTGGACGGCGGGATTACAGAGCTCTTTGCGAAAGAGCTGATATCGCAGTCAGGTTTGGCTCTGTCCAGTCATGACCCTGTAGTGATTCTTGACAATGCTTGTGGTACGGGCGCCGTTTCAAGCGTCCTTCACCGTACCATTGGCAGCGACAAGAAAGGTAACTGGCAGTTGACCTGTGGCGATATGTCAGATAGTATGCTTTATTACACTAGGCAGAAGATGCTACAGGAAGAATGGCATAATACCGAAGTGAAGATCGTAAATGCACAAAACACCTGTCTACCTAGTGCACATTACACTCATGTGTTTACAGCCTTTGGTAAGTAGAGCGAGCGAACGCGGGCAAAAGGAATGACACTTTCACAGTGTTGACTAACGAGGTTTCAGCTTTCAATCTCTTCCCGGACGATTTTTCTGCTATGAAAGGTAGCCGGGTTGCTAATCTCTGTTGAGGGCGACAGGCACGATTTTACTAATGAGTTCGTTCAGAATGCGTCAGAATACTTCAACCTGGTGGCATTCTGGCAGTTTCCACGTGGAAGAGCAGTAAGACACTAAATTATAGCCCCATGTGCTTATACATAAACGCTAATAGGTGGTATTCCCGACCGAAGCCATCTGGGTCTGCACGCTTACTGCTGCCATGGCCAGCTTGCCGGGAAGTGTTCCAGCTCCGTCGGAGAAAGAGATTGATAGACTACACAACGTCGGCTGGGACGAGGAGTCTTCTGTGCGAGCTAAGTTCGAGCAAGCCGGGCTTAGTAACATCCAAGTTAGAACGGTGAAGAAGGAGCATTTGTTCCCCATGGACCAGTTTGTTGAAAGTTGCACCATCATTATTCCCATGATCGTCAACACTTTCTGGACGCAGGATCAGCGAGACCAGTATGAATCCCAGTTGCCATTGGCAATTCGTCGCTACGCTGAGGGAAAATTTGGGAAGGATGGATTGGCTTCCCTGGAAGCTGAAGCTATCATTGCTACAAGCCGTAAACCTTGACTTGGAACGTTTAAAAGTGGATCTAGTATCTATTATTTATTCACGGTGTGATTCTTAACACAGCTTGGTGGCATCTAGGCCGTATTTATTGAACTCGTTCAATTACAATGTTCGTACATATGGAAATACCTAATAAAACCAATAGAGGAAGACCGATCTTAGGGCCTGAGGTGGAGAGCCGTAAACTTCAGATACGATCTTGCCTTAGCAGAACTGTTCAATAAGACTCAACACTCCATGCCGTTATGCAAACTGTTTCCTATCTTGACGGTTGGACAATACCCTTCAGGAGACCAATTGAATATGGCCGCCATATACTCATGCCATGTCACCTTCTCAATCCTTTGAACTAGAGCTTGTAGTAAGCCTCACAGTCTTCTATTCTCTAAACAGATTCCACAATACCGAAGAGTGGATATTGGACAATCAACAGTACGAGACTATAATAATCGAAGCTGTAAATTAAGGAACAAATGAAAGTAACAGTCACTTAGAAAGGAAACGACATCCTTCATTCAATAGTTCAATAAACAATTACGATTATTTGATCCAGGCCTCAAGGAGACCGTGGCAGTTTCCAGGAATTTGATAAACTTCCTTGAGTTTAAGTCCGGCCAAATCAAGAACTTCATTCCACTCCTTCAATGTTCTCTGTTTCGCACCGAGGTTCATCATTATCATATCCATCCATGCTTCCTCCATACCAGGGTTCGCATCAGGAACTATGATTTCCTCAATCAAAAGCCGGGACTTCTCTGGCCGCATTGCTGCGGTGACGTTCCTCAGGATCTTGACAATGCTCTCCTGAGGCCAGTTGTGGAGACAGCGGCGTATAAGGTAGGTAAGAGCTCCTAATGGAGAGAGGTCGGGTTATATCGGAAACGCTACACATGCCATTTTAGACGAGAATATCTTACCTCGAACAGGTTGGTCCTGAAAAAAGTCATATGCCATCTTCTCAATCCCGTCGCCAAGTGAACCTGCAGCTTGGATCACATGCGCCTGATCCTGAAGAATGAATCTACCAGCCAGATCACCGCAGAGAGACCGGATGCGCGAGATTCCTTTCCCGGTGCCGCCCCCAATATCCACCGCAACCGCTGTCGTGGGGGTGGGATGCAGGTCTGATAGACTTTCCCAGGGGAAGAGGTCAATCATCCACAACTCGGTCATTGCCTGAAATGTCATACCTACATTGGAAGATGTCATTCTTGTAGGCCTTTCAGACAGGTATTCCCACATGCTCTTGCCATTCGTATCGTGAGCATATGTGTACGGATTATTACTAGTCGATGTTGGCTCCCTCCAGGAATTGCGCTTCAGGAATTCATGCATCTTAAGATGGGCTGGCATATGCTCATCCATTCTAGGGTCGTTCTATGTCAACACACGATGAGCGTGGGTGCTAATCAGATGAGCACTTACGCAAAACGAAACATGCCTCGAATTTCAGGTTTGAGGTAGGCTTCTGAGGACGGGGTATGTCTGTATTGACCCGGTCCAGTCTCCTCAAAAAGAGCGGAGTTCCTCATTAATCGAGCTAGCTTGCAGTTAGCTAATCGGCAATATCTTAGAACACAGTGCGCCGTGCACCTAGCAGAGTCTCGTCGACGTTCAGCTCTTCCGCAAGCTCCCTTGTACCCCGGGACTCCTTGCCGGTGGGAAGCGCTTCGAATACCCCCATCTCCAGCAATGACCGGGCACATGCTAAATGGGCTGTCTGACAAAATGCATTAGCGGCAACGGTGATATGGCAGACACTAGGGGGGGCAGTCTTACCCGTTCAAAGCAAGTGGCGACTGTATCGATTGGACCCTGCGCGGTCTGGAGGAACTTGGAGGCCTCCATTACGAGGTTATCATGCGCGGTCTGATTGGCACTAATGTCCTTTATACTTCCGTCGTGGTGAGTAAGAAGCCTTTCCTGGCATTCATTCGCGGCAGCATTGAGTCTCTTCAGGGCGGCTGTAATTGATTGCAAATACCAATCCGTCTGTTGAGGAACCTCCATGATCGCGGAATTATTCTGAGTTCAGATAGATCAGGTCTGCGCAAGAAGTAGCCCGCGTTCAGGGTATTGGTAAGTTGTATGAAAGAGAATCTAAATAAGTCGACATGTTTGGACCTCAAAGAAAGATTAGTTCCAGATAGCCATATGTCTATCATAAAACTTCCTGGACCATTCTAGAAATCAGCCGACTACGATTGATACCTCACATGTGCGACTACTGAGATGCGTATATGACATGATACATTGGTCCATTTAGAAATTTAAACGATCGTCGTTACAGTTCTATGGAGCCCACACTTCTCACCGCACATTGACATTTGGCGATTATATTCTGTATCCAGTCCCTTTGATATTGCATGGTTGGGTCGATTACATGTCCAACACCCTCATTGATATATCAACTGCAAACCCTACCAAGAGAGGGTCCACTGCAACCATATCTAGGATACCTTGTCTTCGCCCTAAGGGTCCCAAAAGGTATTTAGAAGAGGCTAGAAACTATAGCGTCCAATGAATACAGAATATGAGGCACTATAGCTCGTATTCTTGGTTAGTGTTTTGATGCAGCCCATTTTGCAATGAGGGTTGAATAGTTGCACGAGTCCCGGCCACCGAGACTGACTTTCAAAGGCTACTGCACTAATACAGTGACTGTTGGAGATGCAAAGCAAATAGCGAGTTCAACCAGCTCACACGCACGATTTTAAGCATTTTTCCTGCATGCCGGTGCTTATTCCCATTGTAAAGCTGGGCAAAATTAAGTCGGAAGCCTCTCGTGAAACAAAAGGTGCATCAAATAGTACCGCTTCCTGGGCTTCCATCAAAAACTATCTCTAAACAAGTTGACAAGCTCGGAGTATCCGCCGCTATGATGATACATCTTCAAGCTTCCAAGTGTCTAGTCAGCTTTACAATTGTGGTAATTCTTCTTCTAAGATGTATAACCTGAAGCATGCTGGGATAGTGTTGCACTGGCACCCTCTGCTCGTGATACGTACTACTTCGATTATGCTCAGCATAGGACAGTCCACAACTGAATGAACACAACATCTAACATAAGGCTATCCGAGCCAGGTGCTGACTACTGTTTCACTGTACACCCATCAAATAGAGCCTTCTCTGGTGGTCGACGTGCTCGAAACAGAAAGTAATGGATGGCTCGATGGTAGTGCATGGGGTGATAATGTCATCGCTGGGGCGCGGAATGTGGCTCCATTTTGCTCTTTTCATCCCTGCTGAACTCTCACAGATTTAGCTCTCATAGTAAACACATAACCAGGAAGATAGCCAGATGTGGCCCAAGAAGGATGCTTATGTGAAAGATCAAAGACACAGTAGCGGATGGCGCGCAAAGGCCCTTAATTCGTGGAACAGTGAGTCCACGGTGCGTATAGACACATCCTGTAACATAGTATATTACAAGATTAGGGTGATAAGAAGACATACACTTGATCAACCGCTGATCCGTGTGCCGTACAGGCTCGACTATCGATCGACCCTAATGTTCTAATTCCAAAAAGTATGCAAATCCTTTATTTCAGCAACAAGTTTCCTCCAGATGATCTCTCGGATCTGTTCCGCCGCCTACGTCTGCATTCCAAGTGCCCAAACCATGTGATCTTGGCTAGAGTGCTAGAGGAGGTAACAGATGTCGTGCGAGAGGAAATTACTGGGCTTCCTGCCGAACTGAGAAGTCTGTTGCCCCCTTTCAAATCTATCCTCGATCTTGCAGAAAGCTTCAATTGGCATCAAGGGCCCTTGTCAGGGACATTCGAGTGTGTGTTTTTGGTTCTTGTGCCGATATGTCTTTTTGTCGGGTGAGTCGGTTTCGAATGCAGAACTCCTATTGTGGAGCAACAGTGACGGGTATTTATTTTCATCAGAAATTACGAGAATCGGCCAGACGAGTTCGTCTTCGGTCGAAATACATCTTTATTTACTGGACTTGGCCTTGGATTCTTGGCTGCCACCGCGATCGTAGCATCTCCCTCTCTATGTAGCGTGCCAGCCACGGCGGCGGAGCTGGTGCGCATTGCAATGAGAACTGGTCTTCTGATACACCAGCGATCCCAGGACCTCGAGTCGCAGAGCCTTGATGGCGCACTTCAAAGTTGGGCCAGCATTGTGAAAGGTATGAACGAGGTAGCTGTACGAGACGGAATTTACGAATATAACACATCGACGGTAGGCAAGGCCTAGGCACGGATAGGAGTAGAGCTAACTGTCACACAGGGCACTGCACAACCTAGTTCAATCTACATCAGTGTGGTAGAGCCGGACGGTAGTGTCTTCATAAATGGCCCCCCATCAAGGCTTCGCAAGTTCTTTAGCACGCCCGGAAAAGTGCAATCAGCAGCGCACGCTCCATTGCCTGTATATGGTGGGCCCTGCCATGCACCTCACTTGTACGACCGCAGCCACAGTGCGTGGGTTGTTAAGCCATGCCGTCCCGAGGTTCTCTCCCGCAATCTTTCCCATACAGCCCACCTTCTGTCCATGGCAGATGGCAACCCCTTAAAAGCGAATACTGTATTAGAGTTGTTTGAATCTGCCACCTACATTTTATTAACAAGCATCATTCGCTGGGGTGCAGTGGTGGATGCCATCACAGCGTCGTCGTCACTATGGAAGGACACGGAAGTGCATCTGAACATGCTCAGACCTTCTCCTATCGTGGATGGTTTAGTGTCTGCAATTCAGAAAAGCCACCCTAGTTGCACCGCCCATGTAGTTGACCTTGGAGAGTGGATATTTGATGATACTCGCCTTACTCCATATAGCGGCCACGAAAAGATCGCAGTGGTTGGCATGTCTTGCAGGTTGCCCGGAGGGGCTGAAGATTTAGAGCTGTTCTGGGATCTTCTTAGGGAAGGGCGTGATGTCCATCAGAAGGTCCCAGCAGACCGATACGATGTTGATAGCCATACAGACATTACAGGCAAACGGCCAAATACCAGCCATACACCGTTCGGCTGCTTTGTAGACAGTCC